GGGGGTTGTAGTTCCGAGGAGCGGGTCTTCCGCGTGGGCGGCGGGGGTCTGCAGGCGGCTCCCCGGGGGGCGCCAGAGGGGTGTTGGCTGGGGCTGCACGTGGTGCCCTGCCGGGAGAGGGACTCTGCCCTTAGCTTCTCCGGAATGGGCGGGTCTTCAACAGAGCCAGGCCTCGTCAATAGGCCTCGCTTTGCCTTCCTCTAAAGCTCTTCAAACACAGGCTTGTTAGGACTGAGCCGCTTGTAGAAATAGATCAAAAGTTACACGGCCCTGAGCCTCTTGGTTTATAATGCTGTGTAGAGCCCTAGTCAGGGTCATCACACGTGGGACACAGGCTGGTATTTCTTCCAGGCCAAATGGTGACCGTGCAGATGGAATTGGAAATATCAGTGTAGCTAGAAAGTGGAAACACCCTTGGAGTAAATTGGAATACCTTGAAGTAGAATTACAGGACTATTGCCCGAGAACACGTGGCCTGGTGGAACATGTTGAATTTCCTAATCCTATCTGGAGGAGCAGGCAGGCCTCAATACAACCATGGTTTTGCCATAGTAATAGTTAACAGGCTTCCTTTTTTTAAAATGGGACAGTGCCGTGTCTCATTTGATGAACTTGCCCTCCCATGTACCTGCATGTGATGAAAACCATGTTGGTAGGGACATCTGAGAGCATGATGAATACCAACATCTCTGAGCGAGACATGGGTTGTATTTGCTACTGGGCAATAGCATACCTAGTTGGGAACAATCAAATTGTATTAGTGGTTGCCTGAGTGACTAAGTGCCTGTAAAGGTTATAATTGCACGGAAGAAGCAGTGGTGGGTAACTAATATCCCTTTAAAGGTGGCTGGATTTTTCTTGTTGCAAAAGGCTGTCTAGTTTGTATTAATGGGCTTCTTGATAGTTGGTGAACTAACAGCCTACAGAACAGATGTAGATGAACTTGTGCAGCATATGGTGTAGCTGTTCTGGAATGGGTCATTTTAGAGTCGTCAACATGACAAGACATTTTCACACTATCTTGCTAGGCTTTTTTCTGAAACTGAGGAAATTTTGACCATTATAACGTTCTGTGTTTAGCCATGATGCATCAAGCAAGTTCGTTCTTCGCTGGTAACTACAAAACTGGTAGGAATTGCTTTTTAAATATAGGTTTTAATGGGGGGGAGGTGGCAGAGTACCATCTGGCCTACTACAAGCCCACTTGAAGATGTTTGACTAATCTCAAGAAATCTGTAGTTCCTGGCTGATCTCTCCAGGTGCAGAGCCAGTGTTGCTCTTATATAGCAAATTACTCTGAATTGGCCTTCTGTGCCTGTACCGGCACTCACTGCAGTGGGTGAACACCATTTTTTTTCCTGTGCTTTGTCTCCCTTCAGTCAAAGGGATACTGCATGATGTAATTCTCCATTCCCTCCACTAGTAACACTTTTTTGCATCTTTGGAGGTCACCTGAAGGGGCTAAACAATGAATTCACTTTTTGGGAGGGAGGGGACAATTGCTACAATTGCATTAAAGACTGCTATTAAACTGAATGGCCGATGATGCTATAAATATAAGAGTAGTGGACAGAAGGGATTTCTGAGAACTCTATTCTGAGGCTTATTCAGTGCCTGTTATCTCTGATATTTAACTTTTTAATAGCAATGCCTTAAGTGTGTGGTTTTCTTGTTTTTGTTAGGAGGTCAAGACCTAGTGACACTTGCCAAGGTAAAAATCATGTTTAATTTTTATCATAAATGAGGGAAGCTAACCTTAAGGAGAACTGCATCTAAATTGTGGTCTAGATGCCTTATTTTTAATCTGATTGGCATGCTAGTTAAACATGTTCCAGCAGCTTAATGCCAGTTTCTGCTTGTGCCACAATGATGACACTTATTTGCTACTCTTGACTCAAGAGAATGATGAGAACTCTCAACCACCTGTATTTCAAACTGAGGCACAACATTAGTCATGAGCAGTTTAATCTATAGATGACTGAATCGGCTTCATAACTTTCCTCTTTCCTCAGGATTTAGTGGAGGACTTTAGAATCGCCATACAAGATGGATTCTCTGGTAAGAAACAAAACATCTTCATGGTTCTTTTGTGGGTTTCTCCTTCCTTTATGGAACTGATTCAGTGCAATGACTAGGCTGGGTCAAGAACCTGTTTGGGTTCTGTATCAGTTGAATGCAGCAGAACAATTTTAACTCTTGCTATTTCTTGGAGGCTCTTGGATTGTCTTCTGGTTGGGTAGCTTTCTCTAGAACCACTCCATATTTCTTGTTAGCTCAAACTAAACCACATTCCTTTTTAGAAAAATAGCTTAAAGCCAATACAATGATGATAACATAGTTCAGCAGAATCCACAGTGACGAAAACAATTTTGTCTTTCGCTCCTATCTGATGTATCTGGCTGTCATGATCCTCCCCAGTACACATTAGAAATGCTGAAATGGTGTGTAACTTCCTTTTCTTTTCATGTAGGTCCTGGAAGGCAAATGCTGGTGTGAAAGGTAAATCATTCAGGCGGGACGGGGCAGGTTGGTTGTGGACTCCCCAAGTCTGTCTTGTTTTTCAGACAGTTTAAATGCTTCAGTTTACATTTAAATTTAAGGGGCTTTGTATTTTCAACTGCCACTCATTCATCTCCAGTGGAGGCTGTATATGATGATAACATAGTTCAGCAGATGGTCTATGAAGAACATGCTGTACTGTCTTTCGCTCCTATCTGATGCATCCTCCAGTGGCTTGAGCATTACTCCAGCAGCTAGTTCACATGGAAAGTGTCCTCTCTGCTTGTCTAAAGTGTTCTGAAAGACTTGGCACAACTACTTTTTTGCTATAAGCAAGCCAGTCTCGAGTAACTGGAGTAGACTCTCAAAGTTGGGTGGTGGGGGGGGGGTCTTCCCACAAATGAACATAAGGTGAAGCACAGATTTACATTTAGCCTTAGTAGTGTCTTAACATGGTGATGCCATATCTGGCTTGTTTAGTTTTTGTCCTTCTCTTGCCCCCACCCCAAAGTCTGTCTTCCCTCCATTACCTTGTTTTATTCTTGCATGGTTGGCTGTTTGAGGCAGAGACTGTCTCTGTTCTGTCAGTACAGTCCTTTGCAGAAATAGGAGACTCCTCATAGATGAGGACCCATGTGCTCCAGCAATACAAATAATAAATAAATTAGTGATACAGGTATCATAGTGTCTTGTCTTTACAGGCACTGTTAAATAGATGGCTTCTGCCCACCACCTGCCTGATGCATACGGGGGAAAATCCAACTTGAACACAGTGACTTACTGTTTGTAAGGAGAATACAGAAGGTAACTTAGAGGACCTGTTTAATTGTAAATACTTTTGCTTCTAGCCTATGATTGAGTTTTAACATTGGCAGTGGGAAACTTTAAAGTTTGGATTTCCTTTGGGCTTGAAAAATCCAAACTAGTGGTAGCACTAGTTATTGGGTATTTTGGCTAAAATTCTCGTTAAGGGGAAGGGAGCAAATAATAGGTAACTTTCAATGTATTCAAGTATTTGTAGTATTGGACCTGCTCTGGGGAAGGAGGGCAGCAAAGATTTTAAGATTGAATCATGACTTGGAGTACTAGGTTTAATTCTTGGTTCTGCTGCAGATTCCTCCAGATGCCTCATTTCTCACTTTTTTTTCTCCCTTGGCCCATCTGTTTAGAACAGGGAGTGCTTAATGTGCTTCTATGCTCCCCTGGCCCATCTGTTTAGAACAAGTAGTTCAGAACAGGGAGTGCTTAATGTGCTTCTATGGTGCCTAAACACTCCTTGGTTGGCTAATATTTTTAGATACAAGATAAAATACCTTGTTTGGAGGCTAAACTTACTATTGACTAACTGTGGGGAAGGAACGGCCTTTGAAATCTTTGTCCGTAAGAGTAGAGCAGTAAGCAGCTCGAGCAGAGATGAGAATTGCAGAGGGAGAGGCTAATCTGTATGTCAGCATCTTTTGGCAGATGAAAGAAATGTATGTTAGTCAGGGTTTGCTTCAGAAGGAGCCCTGTGTCTTTATTTGGGAGGTAGGCAGATATGAACAAGGCCTGAGGCCTAGGTCTTGACTGCAGTTACCTTAGTGGCCACACCAGAGTAAGAGCCTTGCTACACTCCTGTTCACATACCTAGCTGGCCTGTCCCAGGGTATACAGCTCAATGAATGCGTTAGAGCCATGGGGTGTGCACCCAGAAGTCCTACAAACACACAGGTAAACGCAGCATTAGTGGAGAGACTGCAAAGCATATTTGAATTAGGCTGCTTGTACCCAGGCTAAGCCTACCTGGGTGCTTAGATCCAAGTGCTGATGACCTAAGTTAAATCATGAGGCCTACCCAAGAAGGGGGCCATAAAATAAATCACTCCGAGGGTCTAGTGGAAGATTCCTGTAGGCTTCTCAGGTAAGTGCTTATCTTCTAGGTTAGAGGAGGATGTCCTGTGTAATTAAAAGCAGGTTGCTTGCTGTACATGATGTTGAATCAGGTCTCTGATCCTAATGAGGATAAAATTGACTACCCACTGATACAGTTTTACACATAAAAATAAAATACTAAAGAAGCTTATTACAGGCCTCGAATAATACCAGTTTTCTCTTGTAGATGCAGGCTTCCAAAGGTGCTTGGATATCATGTAAGTATTGTATTTAACTTAAGGGGAATTCTAGAGTGTGCCTCACTTCAGAGGTTCTAACTAACCAGAATGTGTTATAAGCCTCTAAACACATGCTGATTGCTTACTGCATGTCCCATTCTAAAATAGTTAAGATGCTGGAAGAATTGTCAAGGGTCCCAACACTAACAGTATCTTCACTCAGTGTGAGCTGTAAATCTAACTGGCTGGCCTTTCCCCACCACATTGCTGCCCATTGTTTGGTCCACACAAGCAGCCTGTATGATGAAATGCAAACAGACTGACTCAGCCATGGAGGTCTGTAATTAGCTCTATCTGATTTTTCAGGCATTTGGCTTGGATTTTCCTGTTTCATGGTTGATTCTCTGAATTTCCCTGACACTCTGCTTCATTCCAGGCCTGTAACTTGGATGTGGACAGTGCTATGATTAGCAGTGGTAAGTAGTCAGCAAAACTAGTAAAAGCTTTGGTTTTAACTTGGCCATTGACCTCAGTGTACCAAAAAAGTTTGCCTGTTTGGTTCCCAGCTATAGCCTGGTGACCAGGGGCTGACCCCTCTAAAGGTCTCCTGCAGTAGGATGGGATTTCCTGGCTTGTCCTTAACTTTTCTGCCCTAAGATTTTAGGCATTAGCCTGCTGTGGGTCACTTAAGGATAATCCAAGGCAGTGCTTCACCATAGGTAATGCTTTGTTTTGAGATCTGTGAATACACAACTCACTGGATTTTTGAAGGATGACTCGTGTGGCAGGCTCATCCATGTAGCAATTGTCCCTTCAGGGTTTATAATGATGTTGACAAATGTCTGACCTGAAATCAATATGTGGACTGCTTCATTACTGAAAGACCCTGTAAATTAAGATACTGTTTTACTGTGCTCAGAACTGCATTCTATTTTATACTCATGGAGAGATAAAAAAGCTAATGGATTCACTTCTTTTTTTTAGGCCTTGGCTTCAATAAACTTAGGTGAGTGTATTTAATTTGTTTGGACCCATGTTTAACTTGTAGCTAGGAGGAGCATTGTTGTAACCAGTGATGAAATTAGATTCTGCCAAATGAATGTCAGTGATATTACTCCTTTCCGTTCCATTTACTCTGAGGTTACAGTCTTGCTCTTGCCAATTTAGAAGTGAGGCAGTGTCCTCTAGCCAGTGGCAGGGGTTTTAAAATGTGTGTACAGCTGGTCCCCCACTTAAACGCATTTACACACTTACGACCAACCTCCTATTAAGCATGGCCCCGACTTTACGAACGTCGATCTGTGCTTATGAACAGCATCGTCCCATTGAAATGAATGGGGTCCGACTTCTGAACACATTGAGTTACAACCAGCTGTTCGGAACATAACCCGTTCGTAAGTCAGGGACCGGCTGTGCTCAACCCATGGAGTGCAGTGTACCTTCTCAGCTGTTATAATGTGTCCCCTTTGCCCTAACTACCAATTTAAATGATACATCTGAACTTCTCTGAGGTGACAGGGTCTGAAACCTCTACTGTTTTGGATGGTCCATAGAATGATTTGCTCACTGCCGTAAATGATTAAATTCACACTGCTTTTAGAAAGCTGGTTCAAGCTTCAGTTGGTCACTGCTGCTAGTTTTCAACTCGTAGATTGAGAGGACATCTAATTGAGCATGTTAGTCTTGCTCATTTGGGTTACTAACTCAGTTACTTGAAACCACTTTCTTTTGTCCCCATTAAGCATTATTAGAAGATTGACAGATGATCACGACAGCGTTTCAACTGAGGTTTGTATTTTATTTTGTTCCTTTGTGGGTGTTGTGGCAAACTAGCTGGGTTTTAATAATGTAAAAGTAACTGCATTGTGTGATGGAACCAACCTTCCATTGGGCCGTCTGGGGCTGGCTTTCACTTAAATACTGAGGTCTTTAACTGTGGTCCAAGAAACACACGTCATATTGTCAAAACTACACATTTTTAAGCTTGCAGTTGTAGTAGGTACACCTTGGAGTAAGCTCTTGTTCCTATTGTAGTCGGGGTGGGGTGAGAAAATGCTTTTTTCTTTTTAACATGAGCAGAGCTGGGCAGACAGAACACTCACACCACAAGTCAGATTCAGCTGCAAATTTACCAATATGGATATTGGTGTCTGGGAGGGTGTTCCTCCAGTGTTCAGTGAGGATTCTGGCTGTGAAAGCATTTAGATAGGCAGTTGGGAGGTTTTAATCTGGATTCCAGGTTCCCTTTCCTCTTTACTTTCATTTACAGCCTGAACAGGGATGCCTGGTTTGGGGCTGGAATCAAAGCCTGTGAGGACCTGAATTATAAGAGTAGTGGACAGAACACGTTTCTGAAAACTTCACACTGAGGCTTTGAAGCGAATACTGTGTTTGCAGGCAGGGCGAAGAATTTGAATTTTACATTTGAATTTTTTTTTATTTCAGAGCTAGGGCACTCTTCCCGGATAAAGGATCACTAAGTTGAGGTAATATCACTTTAACTTGTGACTTCATGCTAAATTGGCTGCTGTTGCATTTATCTGATACTTTCACTCATTATGAAAGTGAAGTGGAGAAGGAATCTTAACTAGCAGTGAGATTGGCTTCATAAAACTGATAATTTTATTGTTGACTGTAAAAAGCAGAGGCATCCCAGAAGAAGTCACACCAACCTAACAGCATTCTGTATCTTCCCTGATCTAATATTTTTGTGTGCATGCTAGCCGTCCCTGTGGCAAGTTGGAATTAGGGTTGTGTGTTTGTGTGACTTTCAGCTCTGTATACTGAAGTATAGTGGTATTGTTTAGCTCCAGCAGCAGTGAATGAGAACTGTTCCACATACAAGCGTGAAATGCTGTCTGTGTGTACTGTTAATGATGATTTTTTGTTGTAAACAATGGGAATCTCTCTGAAAGAATGAGGAGGACACTTATGCTGAAACAGTACAGAACTCAAGCTGTCTACTAACTCAATCAACCAGAACATGTTTGTAAAAATGTAATTCTGTTCCAGAATGAAGCTGGTCAAACATTGTAAAGCAATCCTGCCTGCCTGAGAGGTAAGGCTAAAGCAGAGTACTGGGAGCTTGTTAAACATTAGTGACTTTTTTCCAGGCTTATGTCTTTTGGAATCTCTTGATTCCAGGACAGCTTAGTGTTGGGGTGAGGGCTCTTAAATGGGGCTTTCAGCTTTGGGGAGGAGCGCTGGACTGGGGGTTGGGTGGAGGGAATTTAGCTGCTGGCTCCCATGATGCTCTTTCTGCTGTTGGCAGGAGAAGCCTCCTGACTCT